TTCAGAGACCACATTGACTACATTCTTATAATCCTGACAGCAGAATTCATAATTGTGAATTGAATAACTCCACACTATGTTGAACTAAAAGGTTCCATTGTCATATTTTCCAGGGTCAGTGTGAGGATCAGCTTTCATAGTTGCTCCTAAAATGGATGAATAGGGTAAAAGTTTAATGAATTTGTTGGACTAAAAATATATCATAACCAATACCTCTATTCTAATCCCAGGTCTTTACTTTTGACCAACAATATCCAGAACTTTTTTTGGAGAGCCTACCAATATGAATTAAAAGACTTCACATATTCACATTAAGGTAAATAAATTATTAAACAAATAGGCACAGGCAACATATTTCCTCTGGAGTAAAAAAGAAGTGACAATTGTTTATAGAAATGCCCTTGAATTTATTTCTCTTCTCTTCAAAATGTCCTCTGATTCATTATGGATAATTTTAAAGAAAAGTGCATACCTACATTATACATATGTACAATCTTATACCAGAATAACTATTCCTGCAATGAGCCATGAAAAGGTGGGGAAAGAATGACATGTTTTTCTCTTTCGTGGTTGAGTCTTTGTGTGGTTTTGGTATCAGAGTAACTGTAGCTTCATAAAAGGAATTTGGCAATGCCTCTTCTGTTTCTATATTGTGAAATACATTAAGGAGTATAGGTATTAGCTCTTCTTGGAAGTTCTGGTAAAATTCCGCATTGAAACCATCTGGTCCTGGGCTTTTTTGATAGGGAGGTTTTTGATAACAGCTTCTAATTCTTCACATTTAACATGTCTATTTAGATTGTTCACCTGGTCCTGGTTTAACTTTGGTATATGGTATATATCTAAAAAAGTGTCCATTTCTTTTACATTTTCCAGTTTTGTTGTATACAGCTTTTGTAGTAAGATCTAATGATTCTCTGAATTTCCTCTGTGTCTGTGGTTATGTCCCCCTTTTCATTTCTGATCGTATTAATTTGCGTGTTCTCTCTCTATCGTTTGATTAGTTTGGATAGGGGTTTATCAATCTTGTTGATTTTCTCCAGGAACCACCTTTTGTTTCATTGATGCTTTGGATTGTATTCTGTGTTTCTATTTTGTTGATTTCAGCCCTCAGTTTGATTATTTCCAGTCTTCTACACCTCCTAGGTGAGTCTGCTTCTTTTTTTTCAAGAGCTTTCAGGTGCACTGTTAAGTCTCCAATATGGGCTTTCTCTGTTTTTTTTTTTTAAGTGGGCACTTAGTGCTATGAACTTTCCTCTTAGGACTGCTTTCATAGTGTCCCATAAGTTTAAGTATGTTGTTTCTTTATTTTCATTGAATTCCAGGAAGACTTTAATTTCTTTCTTTATTTCTTCCTTCATCCAGGTATGGTTCAGTAGTTGACTGTTCAGTTTCCATGACTTTGTAGGCTCTCTGGGGGTAGCATTGTTGTTGAATTCTAACTTTAATCCATGGTGATCTGATAAGACACAGGTGGTTACTAATATTATTTGTAACTATGTAAGGTAGCTTTGTTACCGAGTATGTGGTCAATTTTAGAGAAGGTTCCATGAGCTGCAGAGAAGAAGGTATATTCTTTCCTCTTTGGCTGGAATAATCTATAGATTTCTGTTAAGTCCATTTGCTTTATTACCTCCATTAATTCTCTAATTTCTCTGTTAGGTTTCTGTCTGATTGACCTGTCCATTGGAGAGAGAGGAGTGTTGAAGTCGCCTACTATTAGTGTGTGCGGTTTGATGACTGCCTTGAGTTTTAGTAATGTTTCTTTTATGTACGTGGGTGCTCTTATATTAGGGGCACAGATATTCAGGATTGAGACTTCATCCTGATGAATTGTTCCCGTTATGAGTATAAAATGTCCCTCTCCATCTCTTCTGATTGATTTAAGTTTGAAGTCAACTTTATTAGAAATTAGTACGGCCATTTGCTTGATAAGCCTTTTCCTAGCCCTTTACTCTGAGTAGGTGCCTGTCTTTGTGGTTGAGGTGTGTTTTTTGTAAACACCAGAATGTTGGATCCAGTTTTCTTATCCAATCTCTTAGCCTGAGCCTTTTTATAGGTGAGTTGAGCCCATTGACATTAAGTGATATTAATGACCAGTGGTTGTTAACTTTGGTCACTTTTTTAGTAGTAGAGTTTGTGTGTTTCCCTTCTTTGAGTTGTGCTGGTGAAGGGTCTCTAGATGTTTGAGTTATTGTGGTCATTGTTGGACTCCTTGGTTAGTGATTTTCCTTCTATTATTTTCTGTAAGGCTGGATTTGTGGCTACATATTGTTTAAATTTTTTTTATCTGGGAAAATTTTGTTTTCTCCATTATAGTGAATGAAAGCTTGACTGGGTATAGTAGTCTGGGCTTGCATCCATGGTCTCTTACTTTTTGCAGTACATCTATCCAGGACCTTCTGGCTTTCATGGTTTCCATAGAGAAGTCAGGTGTAAGTCTGATAGATTTACCTTTATAAGTAACTGGGCTTTTTCCTTTGCGGCTCTTAATATTCTTTCTTTATTCTGTATGCTTTGTGTTTTGATTTTTATATGGTGAGGGGATTTTTTTTGATCCAGCCTATTTGCTGTTTTATATGTTTCTTGAACCTTCATAGGTACATCTTTCTTCAAGTTGGGAAAATTTTCTTCTATAATTTTATTAAGTATATTTTCTGGACCATTGAGCTGCACTTCTTCTCCTTCTTCTACTCCAATTATTCTTAGGTTTGGTCTTTTTATTGTGTTCCATATTTCCTGAATGTTTTGTTATGAGAGTTTGTTGGACTTGCTGTTTTCTTTGATCAGTGCATTTATTTTCCTTATGTTATCTTCAGAATCTGAGATTCTTTCTTCTATCTCTTGTATTCTGCTGGTTATGCTTGTTTCTGTAGTCTCTACTTGTTTACCTAGATTTTCCATGTCCAGCCGGCCCTCTGTTCATGTTTTCTTCGTTGCCTCCATTCCAGTTTTCAAGTCTTGAACTGTTTCCATTATCTGCTTGATTGTTTTTCCTTGGTTTCCTAGGGTATCCTTTACTGATTTACTCAATTCCTCAAACTTTCTGTTATCCTTCTCATCCATTTCTATTAGGGCATTTTTTATATGCTGTTTAAGGGCCTCTATCACTTTCATAAAGTCAATTTTTTCTACTTCTTCTTGATTAAGGTGTTCATGTCCTCCTGTTGTGAGGTCGCTGGGTTCTGGTGGTTTCATGTTGTTTTTCAGATTGTTGGGTGAATTCTTGCATTGGCGCCTGCCCATCTCTTCCTCCGAATGCTCCCCTATGGATCTTCTTTTACAGGATCAGGTCTTCTTGCCCACTGATGTACCTTCCCACTGATGTCACTCCCCAGTGATGGTTCTCCTGGTGTCCAGATCGAATATCCGTGCTGCTTGGGTAGCTCGCAAACAAATGGTCCACCCTGCTTGCTGCAGGCAGTCTGTGGAGACAAAGGAACTACCACCCTCCCCTTTGCCCTCCCGATTCGGGTTCTGTCCCAGCACCCAAGCAGGCTGAGCTGGGAGGTGCTATGCCGCCAAAGAGGGGAGGGAGGGAGGGAGACCTGGTGTGGGGGTTTCTGGATGTAAGCTGGGTGGGATAGGAAGAGAGAGGAGGTATCGAGCAGTATAGCCCCTGCAGGATGTCCAGGAAGTGTAGGAGGGATGAGGAACATTTGAGTTTCCTGTTCCTGGCTGCCGCTGCACTCACTCACCCCAATGATGGCTCTCCCGGTGCCCAGATTGGAACTCCGGACCTCCGTGCTGCTTGGGTAGCTCGCAATCAAAGGGCCCACCATGCTTGCTGCAGGCAGGCTATGGAGACAAAGGAACTACTGCCCCTCCTTTGCCCTCCTGATTCCAGTTCAGTCCCAGCACCCGGGCAGGCTGAGCTGGGAGGTGCTATGCCCGAGACTAGAAATCTTCTATCACACAACATATTGAAGATTTGGGAAGAAAAGTTTCTGCCTTATAGAGAATCCATATTTTGTGTTTTAGACTCTGTGTGTTTAGTGTTCTGGCTTCTGCTGTGTAGACTTGGAACTAGAATGGAAGTCAATACAGGAAAAGACATTTTAAGTGAAGGACAAGAGGGAAAAACACAGGGTAACACAATAATTTTCAAAGAAAATGTTGGGTGTACGGAGAAAAAGAAACTGAGTGCATAGAAAGTAAAACACTAGAGTTTGGGAAAATAAAAACAACGCCTTCTGAAATTACAAAATTGATGCAGAAGTTTTGTGATTGGTTATAGACAATTATTAAGTGTCCCCATTATGATGAAAATATAAATATGCAGAAATAAAAGTGACCTAAGACAACATGAAACCAGCCATGTGTTGCCTGGTATTGAGTTGGGATTGGTAGAGTGGGAAGAACAAAGTGATCATAGGGAGAACTTCAGGATGCAAACAACTAAGTGCTGCAAATACAAATATGTCTCTACTGAGAGGAAGACAGGCAGAACAAGGGATGTATAATTTGCCAAAGTCCTTGGGGCATAGGATAGCACCTCTCAGAACTGAGCAAAATTCAGAAAAATTTCAAGTGTTCCTGCCAGGATTCATTTCAGGAAGAAGCCACGTCCAGCAGAAACAGAGGGACAGACAGAGCTAATATTTAGAAATACAGCCATGTGTGGAGCTTTTCTGGTTCACATTGACCCTAAAGAGACATGATGATGTGGAAACACAGTATTTTCCATGCATATGGTAAAAAGAGAACTAAAATAAAGTGTGGTGAATCCCTAACAAGGAAATTATGTACACAGAGCTACATTAATGCTTCAATTTCTATAACTTTTCTCAGTGTGTATGATGTCTTATATCTGCTCTGAGTACTAATTTCTGGCCAGGTCCAGCTACAGAGCCTGCTATGTCAGGAAGATATGCAAATAAGCATTCCTTTGCCCATAAAAACCAGCCCTGTCCTGACTCTTCAGCTCTGGCAAAGGAGACCAGCCCTGGATTCCCAAGTCTTCCTAGGCAGGGACCACCACAGAACACAGGCCACTCACCATGGACTTAAGGCACATACTGGTTTTCTTTGTCCTTATTTTAAAAGGTAATTCATAAAGATGAGATGCTGTGTGTTGTGTGTACATGAGAAAGAAAAATTTTTCTGTGTCAGTTTTTTTTAACCAGAATTCTTTGTGTTTACAGGAGTCCAGTGTGAAGTGCAGTTATCGGAATCTGGTGGAGAATTAGTGCAGCCAGGAAAGACCCTGAAACTCTCCTGTGCAGTCTCTGGATTTACCTTCAGTAGTTATGCAATGGGCTGGGTGCGCCAGGCTCCCGGAAAGGGGTTGGAGTGGGTTGCAACCAGTGGTAGTAGCACCTACTATGCAGACGCTGTGAAGGGCAGGTTCACAATCTCCAGAGACAATGCCAAGAATACTCTGTACCTGGAAATGAGCAGTCTGAGATCTGAGGACACAGCCATGTATTTCTGTGCAAGATACACAGTGAGTGAATATTACTGTGAACTCAGACAAAAACACGCCTGTGGGGAACACATGACCAGCAGGGGGCGCAGAGAGCACTTAGAAATCTGGGTCACAGAAGAGCCTGCTCAGAGAAACGTGGAAGACTAGATTTTTCTGTGTCTGCACTGTCTCTCTGTATCAAACTTAGGGATTTTCTCTACAGATATTGTGTGTAGTAATCCTTGACTGTCCAATTGTTTATTCAAATTTCTGTTTCCTGTTGTGTTATGTGTGTTTATTTATTATACTCTTTCTCCCTGTTACCCTCTATCTACCTGTCTCAATCTCTCTCTCTTTCACTCTTTCTCACTACTCTCCGTCTCGCGTGTGTGTGTGTGTGTGTGTGTGTGTGTGTGTGTGTGTGTGTGTTGACACAGGAAGCATTTCTCTAACAATCTGCAACACTTGTTTTGAGAAAAATTCTATCCGTGGGCCTGGATCTCAACGAATGGATTGTCTGATTTTCCAGATATTCTCAGTGAATGTTTAGTCTCCACATTTCCTATATGGTATACCTGGTTTGCTGCCACACCCATTTCTTTATTTTAATTTATTTTAGTTAAGGATTCTGAATTTTGTGTTTAGAACCAAATGAAGGGTTCTTGTGTGTCAAAAACTTGATTTTCTTAGCCCTGTTATAGTTGCTATTTAAATTTAGTATGTCCTTTAACTGAACAAAATGCAGATCATCATACTATCTATATGTGACCCATCTTTTGACCTGAATCATTTCCTGAAGAAGCCAAAAAGGATTAAAACGCTAGATGACACAGGCATCTCAGAACCACATATGACTCCATGCCATTTGTTTATCTCCATGAGCACTACACTACCCACACAGAAGTAAGTGCCCCTAATTAAAACAATGTATTTTAAAGAGTTCTCATCCAATTCTGTGATTTAGCCCAATGGTCTAGTTCATGAGTAGTTTCTATAAGACCTGATTCAAATGGTAATTTGAGGTTTCAACAACAGTATTTATTATTCAATATCAGGAGCCCCATCTCCTTCTCACTGGAGCCTCCAACAGAGCATGGTTGTCCTGGTGCTGCTCCTCTGCCTCATGATCTTTCCAACCTGGCAGTGTTTCAATTTTTAAGGAGAAAGACCCAGGTATACCATGTATGGAATGTTTGACGGAATATGATGTTGCTTGTCCCCAGGTGACCTCTCCCAAATCCAGGTGAAGGAGCCAGGACCTGACCTGGTTCAGCCATCACACACCCAGACCCTGTAACTCACCTGCACTGTCTGTGTTCTCATTAATAGCAGTCATATACACTGGAACAGCTGTCATATACACTGGGTCCATTAGACTCCAATATAGAGTATGGAGTTAATGAAAATAATATGGTATAATGAAAACACTGATTATAATTCTGTTCTCAAATCCTAAGTCACCATCAGCAGGGACAACTCCTAGTGCCAAGTTTCCTTAAAACTGATCAGTTTCCCCAAGTTCTTCCCATCCTACCCTTCTCAATTTTCTCTCCCCATCGCCCCTTACACCCTCCCACCCCACCCCCAAGATCCCAATGTTTTGCCTGGCAATCTTGTCTACTTCCCATAACCAGGAGGATAGCTATATGTTTTTCTTTGGGTTCACCTTCTTATTTAGCTTCGCTACGATCACAAATTATAGACTCACTGACCTTTATTTATGGCTAGAACCCAATTATGAGTGAGTACATCCCATGTTCATCTTTTTGGGTCTGGGATACCTCACTCAGGATAGTATTTTCTATTTCCATCCATTTGCATGCAAAATTCAAGAAGTCATTGTTTTTTACTGCTGAGTAGTACTCTAATGTGTATATTTTTCACACTTTCTTCATACATTCTTCCACAGAAGGACATCTAGGTTGATTCCAGGTTCTGGCTGTTACAAATAATACTGCTGTGAACATATTTGAGCAAATGCTTTTGTCATATGATCGGGCATCTTTTGGGTATATTCCCAAGAGTGGCATTGCTGGGTCCAGGGGTAGGTTGATCCCAAATTTCCTGAGAAACCACCACACTGCTTTCCAAAGTGGTTGCACAAGTTTGCATTCCCACCAGCAATGGATGAGGGTACCCCTTCCTCCACAACCTCTCCAGCAAACGCTATCACTGGTGTTTCTGATTTTAGCCAATCTGACAGGTGTAAGATGATATCTCAAAGTTGTTTTGATTTGCATTTCCCTGATTGCTAAGGAGGTTGAGCATGACCTTAAGTGTCTTTTGGCCATTTGAACTTCTTCTGTTGAGAATTCTGTTGAGAACTGTTCAGTTCAGTGCCCCATTTTTTAATTGGGTTAATTAGCATTTTAAAGTCTAGTTTCTTGTGTTCTTTATATATTAGGGGAAAGGGGATGATTGGGATGAAGGAAGGTTGGATAGGGGAGCAGGGAAGCACATATCTTAATTAAGGGAGCCATCTTAGGGTTGGCAAGAGACTTGGACCTAGAGGGGCTCCCAGGTGCCCAAGGAGAGGTGCCCAGTTAGTTCCTGGGGCATCTGAGGATAGGGAACCTGAAATGACCCTATCCTATAGCCATACTGATGAATATCTTGCATATCATCATAGAACCTTCATCTGGCAATGGATGGAGATAGAGACAGAGACCCACACTGGAGCACCGGACTGAGCTCCCAATGTCCCAATGAGGAGCAGAAGGAGGGAGAACATGATCAAAGAAGTCGGGACCACAAGGGGTGCACCCACCCACTGAGACAGTGGGGCTGATCTATTGGGAGCTCACCAAGGCCAGCTGAACTGAGACTGAAAAAGCATGGGATAAAATCGGACTTTCTGAATATGGCGGACAATGAGGGCTGATGAGAAGCCAAGGACAATGGCACTGGGTTTTGATCCTACTTCATATTCTGGATTTGTGGGAGCCTAGCCAGTTTGGATGTTCACCTTCCTAGACCAGGATGGAGGGGGGGAAGACTTTGGACTTTCCACAGGGCAGGGAACCCTGACTGCTCTTCAAACTGGAGAGGGAGGAGGAGAGGAGTGGGGGGAGGGGCATAGGAGTGGGGGAGAGGGAGAGGAGTGGGGGAAGGAGGAGAGAAGTGGGAGGCTGGGAGGAGGCAGAAATTTTTTTTCAATGAAATGAATAATGGGCTAATATAAGTTATAAGAATTATTAAGAAATCTGAGCTACTAATCCAATCATTTTATAGTTAATGTAGACCTTTGTGTGATTTCTTTGGGGCTTAAAACCTGCAGGAATTTTGCAGGACAGAAACCAAGGACAACAAGTTGTCCCAGCTTGTGGCACATGTAGGATTCAGGGAAAGGCTTGTGCATTGTGAATTATCATCCCTCACATTATTGGAACCTTCTGAGTGATCTCACTGGAGAAGACCAAGTGGGTATTTAAAGCAAAGAGATAAGAATTGTCAACTCGAATATGATTAAACTAAGGATCTGTTGTTGGAATGCTCACATTGTCATGGAGTTCTACAGCACAACACTCCTCCTCATTCTCTGGATCTTACATGTTCTCCACCCTCACTACTGAGGTATTCTTTTGACATGGAGGAGGCTATATAGATGCCCACTAGACTGGATCACATTCACTGCAGTTTGAAAAGATATGTGTCTCAGAATTAAGCATTATTTTACAAAGGCTGAAATCAGCACTCTGTGTTTAACATTAAATATTTAGAATATATTTACCAATATTTCCAGTTACCAAAACAACTGTAATAGGTTTTTTTCTAAGAACTATGACCTCCTGAAGCCTGAAGGTTTAGAGCATCAGGCAAAAATTCCTTCATGTAAATTAGGCCATCTTCAGCTTGATTCCCCAAACTGTATATAATGATGTCCTCAGTATATTTTCTTTTATCTATTTCTGGTAGGAAACCAGAGTCAATATCAATAATTTGTTTTGTTTGAGGAGCCTTGCTCCTTTGCTTATAAGGAATCCTCCCATCCCTGACACAGAGCAAAAAATAATGCCCAGGTTTTGAAGCACACTGAAAGTTAAGGAATATGAGCAGTCATATCACCAAGATCTTCTCCTATTAGTTATGTTAGCTAAACATGAGGAAATGCGATTGGAGATTTGATATATGTTACAATGTGATACTTGAAACTTGGACTAGATTCCATATCTCTTGGTCCACATCTCCATACATACATCCACAATGAAGAAACAGTTTATCCCATACTTGAATTAAATTTTGTGAATGCGGAGGATATGACCATATAGTAATTAGGTTTAAAAAACAGAGTGACTGTCAGCATGATCCCTGATATACAATCCCATGACTGATTCCCAGAACCAGGAAGTGATAATTGATTGAAGCAAGAGGCAGTATATTCAATGAACTATTCCTCATATCCTGATGGGAAGAGCGAATTCATTCTCTGCCCACAATGCTTCCTCTGGACTGTAATGTCTGGCTAACTCAGTTTCCTATACCACCAATCACAATCTGAATGTTGCTGCTCATGCTGAAACCCTAAGAAGTAGAATCAAAACCAGAATTCACTAGAGAGGGCTTTGTTTAGACTCGACTCCAAATCACCAAGTCAAACTGTGAAATAATGAAGTAGGATGTATGATGGTAACGAAATAACTTCTAAAAATACACAGGGCTGTGTAAGTGATCTCAGATCCCTCACCCTGAGTCCTTACATTTGGTTCATCACATATCTCCTCCCAACAACATATTCAAATACATCCCCTGAGTAGGTTATGAGCTAGGTCACTGTATATAGAATGGATTGGTTCCATTAGAGAGGTGATATGGGATATTGAAGGTTCAGCTTCTGTCTCCAATATTCCTCAGTGAAGTGTGGAAAGAAAGCTGAGCATGATTCCACAAAACACATCATGATCAGAGGGAAAAGATGCCCATGTTTATGGCTGTGTTTTAATTTATACAAATATCAACTATTCACACATTCATCATACAAAGTAGACATCTATGATTCAACTATGTACCTACCACTCACACATATTTAGTAATATAATCATCCACCTACCTGCCTATCATCTATCATATATCTATGCACCAATTGACATGACACTCATCTGTCTATATCAATTGACTTAATAAGATGGGGCAAAGCTAAGTTTACTATGTACAAACAATGTTTCCATGTG